GGTTGAGGCCCAAGGAGGGGGACTCGGGAGGCATCGCTGCACCTACCACACAGAGTTAATGGCAAATGCTGACTACTGCATAGGTTTGTTGTGAGGATTTTCTAGAACAAAGTATGTCCCCCAGAGAGGTTGGTACAGAACTAAGGCCCCATTAAATGGCAGCCACTCTTTGCCCTGCTGGGGTTAAGTCTAGTACTGTGGGTATAGTAGCAGCTGGTCAGATGCTATCCTACCCTCAGATCATCTAGACAAGGGGTTCTCTGTGGCTCCATATATAAATAAATGCAGATGCTGATGGCGGTGGTCTGTGTGGGCCACTGGGGCTTAACAATTTTGAAATCAAGTGGATTGCTTCATGTGTGTTTGTTGTTTTTGTGGCTCAGGGCATCATCGTTGTCATCGTGTTCTTAAGGGTTCAGCACAGTAGCTTAGTCTCTGTACACACACAACTTTCCTTCACCTATTACTATTGCAGCCTTGAATAATAGTTAGCTGTCACTAGTGGTCATGATTTCACACCCCCTGCCCCCCCATCTGGTTTCAAAGGTGCATTTAGGTAAAATAGTTACTTAAAAGGCACCTGGCTTTCTGTTGCAGTGGTTTGCCTTGAACATTAGACTCTGTTTAAAAAAAGATAACAGGGGAGGGGATAAATATTTGGGGCTATTTCAGCCACCAACACACCTGGCATAGAATTTGTTGCTTTAATTTAGTTGCCATGAATGCATTTCTGGGAAGTTGTCTTATGTCTGTCTCCCACCCAAGTTTCTTTTCACTTCTGAATTTTCTTAGGGTAGCCCAGCTTTGAACCCATTTCTGATAGACCTTGTTAAAGAAGTGGGAGCTACACAAAGAGAAGAAGAACATCTAAGGGGCATCCGTCTATTTAGATCTTGGTGTGTGTTTCACATGTGTCAGCTTGATTCTGGGGGGCCATGGCCAAATCCAACTGTCTTTTCACTTGTAGCTCCTCTCTGGCAGTCTTAACTCCTTGGCATTGTAAAATGATGCCTTTTCTCACAAGAGTTATTAAAATATATCCATAGTTAAATAGCGTATTTTTAAGAAGGATGTGTGCCTGACCATGGTGGTCACGGGTCACACCTTCGCTCTTGTCCCATTGTGAACATCCTTACCAGTGAAATCTTTGGCTATATCCCCCCCCACCCCCCGTGAATTTAATTTAAAGAGACTAGAGAGGTGGCTAACGTCACCATCGTTAGTATTTGCCAGACTGCGTTTCCTAAAAAACCTCTTTGTCGCGCATGTTTAGCCATGTGCCCAGGCACTGTGCTGAGCCTTGACATGCACGATCCTACTCAGTTTAGTTTGCACAACCACCTTACTAGGTGGACATGATTCTGAACTGGAGTTCCAAGCTGGATTCTGAGCTGAGAGAAACCAAGTCCTGAGAGAGGTCACACAGCCAGACTGGTAAAGCAGAATCAGAACCCAAATCTTCCTTGCACTCACAGGCCTTGAATGGTATGACATGGCTGTGGGCTCTAAAACCACTTCGAAGGTAACTGAGATGGTTTCTGCAAAGTGATTGGGTTGGATGGTTCTGGAGAGCCACCTAGCTCTCTCTCTTCTGGGATTTGAAGCAGATGGCATCTAAAGACCACGGTGAACCTGTGGTTGGCTCTGTCCTTCTCTTCTGATCTTTACGGTTGCCTTTTGGTGGTTCTTATGGCATTGACGAGATCATGTTTGCCACTCCCAAAGGCTGGGCATTTCATGGGACCCAAGGGCTAGAATACAAAGTCCTTGTCCTTAAGCAACTTGAGTATAGTAGGACCAAGAAAGGTTCATAACACAACCTCAGCAATGGGCGCGTAGGGTTATATAGAACAAAAGGACTCTGGGGTCCTGAAGCTGGAGAGAAAGGCATTTGCAAGCAGAAAGCCCTCCCATCATAAGAGGATTCCAGGTACAGGCAGGTTGAATGGGGTGGCAGTCAGACTCTGGTTTTGGCAGTATGTCTATAGAATTCCCTTTGCTTGCTTGGGAACTAGTCAACTTTGACAGATAAGTGATTACTTTCCTTTACAGGGAACTGCCTGGCATGCATTCAAGATCATTTTTTCCCCCAAAGCCAGGCAGCATGTAAAACTTCCACTCTGTGATCACTCCCCACTCCTCATCCCCATGCTATAGGGTTTTGACAGGGAAAAACCAGTTGGCCAGGCTCAGGTATGCAAAATAATAGAGGGGTGTTGGTAGCCAGAACAGGGCTCCAACTTTTGTTGGAATCACCTTCATACATGTGTTTAAGAAGGAGGTAGAGAATTAATTTTTAAATCCCACACCCAGTTGACTCCACTGTTGCCCAAACACTGTCTTCATCCTTTTGTCCAAGTAGAGAAAGAGGGTTTTCTCCACATTTCCCTTTAGTCCTGTTGAGAAGACTGCTGTGGGGTTTGTGGTTCTTCATTGCAGACAGAACCATGCCATTGGGCAACTTCTTTTTGGTGACAAAAGTAACATCAATTGTAAATCACCATAATTGATAGTAAATAACAAACTGGGCACATGCTAAGTTCTGGCTAAGCCCTTTCCGTGGGTTTCCTAAGAACTAGGACTTGACTAGAACTCACATAGCAGCCTCTGTGCTTACCTGCACCCATGGGTTCTCTCTCTGGCCTGGGGCTTCTCACTCATGGCTGAACAGAAAAGCCAGCCACCTGTGGCACTCAGCAGGCCCATGAGACCTGGATCCTGAGTCCAGGCCTACTGAGTCAGGTCCCCACTGGGAGATTTCCTAGGATCGGGGATCTGAATATGTAATGAGCATGCCCAGAGATCCATGACTCAGCCAGGGTTGAGAGCTTGCTGGTTTCAATGGCTGCCACCAGCCCCTTCTGCGGCGCTGGTGGTGGATTCATACTCTGGCTTCCCTCATTGTTCGTGGTCAGTCCATTGACAATCGGTCAGCCCACCCCCCACCCCACCGTGACTGTCTTCCCTTCTCTGGACCACGTGTGGTGCTCCTGTTGGCACTGCTGTCCTTCCACACTTTATTAAACTCTCTGGGACTGATCTGCTTTCTTTCATGTCAGCTGGCGAGTATCTTTCCAACCAAATAGAAAACTTCTAGAAGGCAACTACAGCTTCATTTTCCTTTCCTCCTAACGGTGTCCACTTTGTCTATGTCTGTCTGTCTGTCTGTCTCTCCCCCCTCCCACCTTCCTTCTCCTTTCCTCTCTCCATCCCAGCACACAGTGGGAGCCTATTTGCTCCTTACTTCTCAAGTTGTCCTAAACAGAAATACTTCCCTAAAGGAATCCTCAGTACATGCCCATGAGGTGCTGGCACTGGCCTCGGGGCAGCAGCCCTTAGCACTGCTGGACGTGGCCTCACACCAAGGAAGTATTACTGGCTCCCCAGCTCCCTCTGCTTTGGTGGCCTTAATTGCTTCGATTGCAAAATGGTGTGAGCAGCTTGCTAGCCCTTTTCTCAGAAAGTGTTTAGCTGTTTACAGGAATCAGAAACTGAGCTGTAAGAGTCATTGACTTCTTTTTCTCTAGTTTCTTCCGGAGCATCTAGGAAGGCCATGTTTTTCTTTTTAAACATACCCATGAAAAGGTTAGAAGCACTTTTTAAAAGATGCCTTCCTCATAATTACCTGTAGTTCAAAATGCTCTCCCCATATTATATTCCTTCCTCATCCTTAAAAAGAAAAAAAAAAAAAGGATGAAAAGAAAAAACAATGAAGAAAACTAACTGCTCAGAGATCCCTGAACTCAATAGGCGCTAGTGGGCAGCACTAGAACCTTCTTTGCTTTTAATGCAATTCCTTTTCCTTGATGTTAATGCAAGTTGTGCCTTCCTAAAAGTAATAAAGGGAAATGAAGACACGTTCTGAAATGAAACTTGACTCTAATCCATTCATCATCTAATACTTGCCTCTTTATCTTCGCTGGTACCTAATCTGGTTAAATGTCCCTGTTGTAGGATTTTAGTGAAAATCCTCTATGGGGAATAGGGTTTTTTGCAATTGGATTACTCTCAGTAAATGGCCCAGTAGTTCGCTTGTTTCAGCTTAATTTTTTCTTTGTGATCTTGCTGGGCTAAGTTACAGAGCAGCATAGGGGAGAGGGGACTGTGAGTGGGGTGGAGGAAGAGAGGAGAATAATTGGGGAAAGCCTGGATCTGGCAGCTAGAAACTATTTAAAATCCTTTGTCCCCCATTTTTTTCTTTTGCCTTTCCCCCTTCTATTTCTCTCCACTGACCCACCTTCCCCAGACACTAGAATGCCTGTATTTTGTTTTCTAGAACCGCCTATTTCTAAAATGTATACCTTTTATGAGCTCAATTCATCATCATCCAGTTAATTTATTAGTATTCCCAGATGACTTCCTAATGAAATTCCTGATGAATCAGGGCTGCTGTAATCTGCATAAAATATGCAGGTGCTTGCCAGGCAGTTTAGAGCTTTCTGGTAAAGTTCACACTCCCACCCAAACCATGAGTGGGGCTTTTTATCCATGCTATCTGGGAAGGATTGTCACATGCCTGCTGTTTCGGAGGGCAGGCAGGGTTGGGAGTTGGGGGGTGGTTATGGAGACTGGCTGGGGAGGATTTGGGCCCTGCTGGGTTCCTTGTAGGTGAAGGTTTTCCTGTGAGCTGCCTCCCGGAGGTCCCACCAGTGGGGCCTTGGGGTAAGGGATCCCACCTGCCACGCGGAGACGCAGCAGGCCTGGGAGATTAAAGCCCCCACTTCCCACTTACCTGCTGATGGGACTCTGGGGCTCCATGATGGGTGGTGTCGAAGAAGGTATTTTAAAAGCCAGACTCAGTGGGGAGGTAAAAAGTACAGATCAACGCAAAGAGCTGTCTTACAACTACCTGTCATTTTAAAACGGGCTGAGGGATGTGGGGTGGGCAGCGCCAAGTGCATCTTACAAAACCAAGGTGGGAGGGGAGCCCATGGGCCCTGTGCTCTGAAGTCTTGGGCTGCGTGAACTGCTCAATGGTTTCTTTCTTGTTCTCCTTACAGTCGAACAAAGTGCCAGTGGTGCAGCACCCGCACCATGTCCACCCCCTCACACCTCTCATCACATACAGCAATGAACACTTCACCCCGGGAAATCCACCTCCACACTTACCAGCCGACGTAGACCCCAAAACAGGTAGGCCATGAGCTTGGGTGCCAAGACAGAGCATCTGTCCTGGAGCTCCAGGGACCACTGCAGGGGGTCTGGGCCAGGGAGCATGGGATTGGGTGGGAATGGGGTGGAGGGGCACCCCTTCCTCTCCCGGGTGTTGAAAGGGCAGCTGTTTGGGGAAGCTGAAGCCTCTCCTCTCTGTAGTGCTGAAGATCTCTTTAGAGCTTCAAGTACCTGGAAAGGGGCTGTCTTGGGAACTTGGCTGCAGGTCCCTCCATATTTCTCTGGAGGGGGTTCTAATTCTAAGAGCCTCAGACAGACTTGGAAGCAGGACTCATACTGGAGGCTTCTTCTCAGGGAGGATTCTCAGCTTCCTGGAAAGAAGAGCAACCTAACCGCATGGCTCCTGAGGGCCCCAGTTTTCTTGGTGGCCCTCTTCTTGGTGGCTGAAGGCCTCCAGTCACTTGACAATCACTTACTCGTGCATCCTCAAAAGACCACATTTGCTGGGTTCTGCATTCTCTACTGATTCATTTGGGGCTCCTACTGTAGTCCAGGTATTGTTAAGCCCATTGTACAGATGGGAATACCAAAGCCCAGGGAGGTTGCCCCATTTCTTCACAGAATAATCGCTAGGGTCTCAGGTGGATGTTGCCACATTATCCTTTAGCCTTTGCAGGTGGCCCCTTTTTCCATCCCACTTATTCATTAACTTTTTCCCCCAAAGGGGAGAGGGAGGAGAGGAGAAGGGTCACTTGTAGTCCTCCTTCAACAAGATAGGAATCAGGTAGGCAGCCCCAGTGCTGGTGGGGTGACCTTGGGCAGAATGGGTAAGGCCAGTGGTGTGTGCTGGCTAGAGTCTCCTTGTCCCAGATCAGTAATTAGAAGGACAGAATTGAAATGACTATCCCATGTCACTTTGTCAGAGGGAATCGTTGGTGTTGGGCTGAGCTAGCCTGCTGGTCAGGTGGCCTTCGCTGGGCTGGACAGAAGCTAAACATTAGCGGGTGCTCCTTGGCCTCTGAGCCCCCTTGTGCTAGTGTAGGACCAAGCCTGGTGCTGGGATGGCTGGCGGCTTCCTCCAGCAGGCCCCAGGCTCCGCACGTGAATGGCAGCATCAGCGTCTCATTTAAATAATGGTAGTACAGGGAATAGCTTTTAAATGGTTATCGTAAAACATATGATTAACGTCTGTGGACTGTTTACTTTTCCTCTGTGAACATTCTTTCAAGTGTGCAAATGGCTTGGTGTAGGGTCCAAGCCCAGCTAATCTGTTTGGTTTTTGTAATAGAGAGAAAGCAATGTCTGTATGAAAAATGTCACCCAGGGAGACTTAATTTACAGATTAAACGCTTCCTGAATGAATCCTCCCCACCCCCAAAATGCACAGTCAGTTTTCATCCACAGATATGCAGCCCATTCCCATCAGTATTCTGTTTTTAATTCTGAGGATTGCGCATTCTGCTTTCCACTTCAGCTGCCCTGGTCACTTCCTCTGTCAGCATCGGTCCTTGTTTTCTAAGAGCTGATTGACGGATGTGCTCCTGTGCCATTAGGAAGCGTGCGGTGGTGCATGCCTTCAGAATTCATGGTGTGCACCTCATGGCACTCTAGCCCCTGGGAAACTGAGGAGCCTGGTCAGGAGGGGAGCATAATTGCCACTGGTGGCTCTGTCCTCTGGTGGATGAAGTTCCAGAACTAAGTACAACAGGCCCCCAACAACTCCTCGTCTGTTCATTCTGAGTCTGCCTTGGATAAGATGCCAAATGGTGTTTGGTCACTTTCTCCAGCTCATCTTCTAAGTGGAGGTGGAGACATTCTAGATGAGTTACCTTTTTTTGAAAGAAGGCAAGGCTGTAACCCTTGGAGAGCCATAACTCAACAAGTATGTGGGAAGTGAGAGGAGTCACTCTCGTGCAGGCGAGTCATGAGAACCCACAGGTGGCAGGGCCCGTTGGAAGGGCAAAGGGAATGTTTGTTGCTTGAGCACCTACTATGTGCCATGCTCTATACAGGTGGGGTTTTTTAAACTTTAAATAATTGCCCCAATCACATGAGACAGAAATTCCCAAGCTGGCATTTTCCAAGTCTGTCTGAGTCTGCCCAGTCCACCAGGCCATCTGGAATGAGGAGAACTAGTTTTCTGTAGTGAGGCGAGGGAAAGGAGCTGAAACCTACCACCGCTGCTTAGAATCATAATGAATGAATCTCGTGCTAGGATTCCGGAAGAGCTGTCTCTCTTCCTCCTTCTCCTGTTCCCCTTCTCCGACAGTCACTCCTTCCTTCCTTCCCTCCTTTGTACCTAAAATGTTGCTTCTTCTCTCAGGAATCCCACGGCCTCCACACCCTCCAGATATATCCCCGTATTACCCGCTATCGCCTGGCACCGTAGGACAAATCCCCCATCCGCTAGGATGGTTAGTACCACAGTAAGGAGTTCCATTTTTTAATTTCCTTTTCGTTTTTTACATGGGCATGCTTATTATTATACATGTGCATGTGCGTATGTGTGTGTTAAGAGGCGGAGGGGTGGGGGGTGGGAGGGCCTGGGGAAGATGTTGCTGAGATGTGCTGTGGGGATGCAGGGAAATCAGTAGCCTTTCAGGTGGATGGGTAGGAAAAGGTCATTGATACTTGGCATTCGGAACCTGTGGTCCCTACAGGCCCTATAAGCAAAGGTATCTCTAAGACATTTCGGGAGTTTCAGAAGGCCGATCATGACGTTTCACCAGTGGCAGCCCATTCTGGAGCCCTGTCATCGAGTTGAGTCTGAGTCCTCCTTGTCAGGTGTTGCATATTCAGAGACATGGGAGTGGGAACAGGAACAACTTAGTTTTAAAATCCAGGGTTCAGAGTGGAGCTCATTTTCTTATAATTTCAGTACCCCCAACCCCTTCTTAAACATTAGTTCCAAGGGTGACAGTGACAGTGTTGAGAAGCCCCATAGTGTAACATTTAACAAGCATCTCTCTAGATTCTTTGCATGTTGAGTGCTTTACCTAACTGTGAAGGATGGGGATGGAGCACCTAGAACCCTCATTCCAGCATGTAGGTCCTTCCTGAGTGTCAGTCCTGGTTCCTGGCAGTGCCCAGATAACTCGACTGCCTTCTACAACTTTAAAAACATGCGTGTTTTAAAATACAAGTAGAAAGGTCTTTAGTACATAAGGCTCTGTGTGTATGCACGCGCTTGCACAAATTATGCATATATGTTTTGCAGTGGTATGTTTCTGTGGATGTATTTCTTCATGTTTATTAGTGATCTCTCCTTTAAAAAACACAGGACAATGTGTTGAATGCTAAAAGGAGTAAATTTCGGCCAAAGTCTCAACTTGGGGTGTCTTGGGGGAAGACAGCCTTTCATAGTCTTAAGGGAGATAAAATTTGGGGAGTGGGTTAATCCCCAGTTTTTTTTTTGTGCTGTTTTTATTTTTAAAAGACAACAAGACCCGGTTTATTATGTAGTAGCTGCATCCCATACCGACCCTCGGTATAATTTCTGGGTTTTGTCTTATTTTTATTTAGAGGGTAGACGTGAACATGGGCTTGTGGCCCATTTCTTCTTAAATCGATGGAGCCCTTCCTCAAATGGTTCTCAGTCATCATTTGCCCCATTTGGCTGATGGGGAGATATTTGAAAGCTAGATAAAAAGGAAGAGCCAACTCAGACAACCCTCTGTCAGAAAAAGTTGTGTGTCTTTCATGAGGATGCTATTTTGCATGTTGCTGTATTTTTTAATTATTGTAATGAGGTGTGATTGTCTATTGGTTACCCACAATTCTTCTTGGGGACTCTCCCCCCCGGTAACTCTTGTCAACACTTGTTAATTTGACAAAAGGCTACAAATTAAGCTCTGTTAATTTAATGTTTTCTCACCGAGATCTAAATACCGAAAGAGGCCCAAAGCGCAACTGAAGTCCTTTGATTCACTGTACTTTATTTTGGTATAAATTTACATTCATTATTGTTTTCCTTTGGATGTGTAGCCCTCAATTAGTGTGATGGCTCCATTAAAGCAAGCGAGACTTCGCCTTTAATTATTACAACAAAACACCTAGTTTCAGCTTGGGGAGAGGGTCTCTATTGACATAAGCAGAGGTTATAAAATTTAATTAGCCATTCCTATCAGATTTATGGCATTCAAATTGTTCTGTGTTTCTTCCCTTTGATCCTTCCTGTACAATCCCCAAGATTTTTGTTCTGATCAAATAAGAATAAAGCTTACTGTGCAGAGAGAACTTTTCTCTTTTCTTCTTTTTCTTGTCCCCACCCCCACCCTTGTTTCGAGTCTCTCACTCGGTACCCCTTCTTTGTAGGCAAGGTCAACCAGTGTACCCAATCACGACAGGAGGATTCAGACATCCCTACCCCACAGCTCTGACTGTCAACGCTTCCATGTCCAGGTGAGTTCCAAGAACCAGGGCCTTCTTCTGAGGCCATGGGTGACTTCTCAGAAAGTTCTCTAGATGATGGTTCCCCAGGCCACCCAGGGACCAGAGCTACATAGAGCGTAAAGCCCATGTAGTATAGACTGTACTCATAGAAAGTACTGAAAAATTACTTGGAACTTCCAAGGTAAGTGACGTCTTTCTAGGTGGGATTTTGAGTCAGTCAACTGAGCAACCTATTTGCAGGCATTAAGAAGGCAGAAGAAATGGTCAGGACCTGTGGAGCTTTATTAAATGTCATTTCTCTGTTGTCGTCTCCTGAGTCAATAGGGAAGGGGTTAGAGGTAACTTTACTCTTAGATAAAGACTCTGAGAAAGATTATTGGTCTTCTCAAAGCTCAGTATCAACAAGAAAGTGTCCCCTTGCCCCCCTCCAAGATATCACTGACCAATAGAAATGTAATGTGAGCTGCAGAGGGAGTTTTAAATTTTGTAGCATCCACATTTTTTAAAAGGATTTTTTTAAAAAGCTGAAGTTTTTTTTTGTTTGTTTGTTTTTGTTGTTTATTTTTTCAGAGTCTCACTCTGTTGCCCCAGGCTAGAGTGCCATGGAGTCATAGCTCACAGTAACTTCAAACTCCTGGGCTCAAGTGATCCTCCTGCCTCAGCCTCTGGGGTAGCTGGGACTATAGGCCTGCACCATCACACCTGGCTAGCTGAAGTTACTTTTAATGATATATTTTATTCCACACAGTATAGCAGATATTATCATTTTAACACATGCCACCACAGAGCAAAAACTATTAATGATATTTCACATTCTTTCTTGGACAGAGTTTTCGTACTCTGATGCATCTCTTCTCCTTAATAGCTCATCTGGGTTTGGACCGGCCACATTTCAAGTACATCACAGCCACATGTGGCTGGTGGCTGCCATAGTGGCCTATGCAGTTGTAATTCTTTGGAAGTTAAAAAAAAATGTGCATTTGAACTGTATATTTATATATTTATGTCTAAGCATATAAATACGTGTTTATATGTGTATATACACACACATACATATACAATATACACACATATCTCCATGTTTTCCTTTTCTACTCTCTGATTAATTCTGGCTAATTTTTCAGCAACTGCTAGTTTATTTACAAACTGGTTGGCAGCAGTATGTTTAAGTAGTCACTAATTGCTCCTAATGATAGTTTTATTTTCTGTTCATCTGATTTTCAGTCAAGTTAATTAAATCGGTGGAGGTTTAGACTTTCCTGATGGGCTGAAACAACCAATCCATTTTGATGATGGCACATAATTAAATTAGCATGCATTACATGGTGAGGGCACTGTCCCACAGCCTCTTCCCCCAATCTCTGTGGCCAATATGGAAAGCCAAGACCAAAGAACGGTCTGGAAAGATAGGCCAAGATACTCTTTCCCCCACCCAAACAGTGATCTTGGGTGGGGGAGAGAGTAGGTATCACATTCATTAAAAAAAAAAGAAAAAGTGTAGCACATGTAGCATTTGTTAAGTATGACACGCATACCGTATGAAGATCCATTCCCCACGTGGCATCCATCATCCCAATTTCAAAATCCATACCAGTATTAGTTAGGCGGGAAAATGCACGTACGTTCTCCTGTCTATGGAGAAGAGGAAGGTTACGGTCATTAAATAATGTCATCACAACCTCGCTGAGCAGGGCGACGAAGACCGAGTCTCCCAAGAGGAGGGTGCTTCTGAGCTGCTTGTAGTACACAGCTCATCTACCCGCCATCCCAGCATTTGTATTTATTGCACCTAGTTATTTTTCATGTTTGTTTATTCAATGCGCTCTGGAGGTTAAAAGCAGTGAAGTAGTTGTAGGATAGGGATTGGGGTTAAGCTTATCGATTGAATTATCGTTACGAGGTTGGTCGATGATTTCTAGGTGGGCAGAGGGGTGGAGGGAAGGAAGGGGACAGTGGGAAGAAAGGTTAGGGGCTCGAGGTGTGAGGAGGGGGAGAGGCGGCTGATTCCCCAGGTAGGCCATATGAAAGGTAGCTAGTTAAAAAGCGTATACAGCAAATTAAATACATTATTGTGGTAATAGGGCGACAGAAGTATAGGTCTATTATACTTATGGCAGTTATAGCAAAATGTAGGCAGCTTGCCCTGTTCCAGAACACCCTTTGATATTCATTCTATTCAGCAGTGGGGCCAGGACTTCTCAGAATTAAGTGATGGGTCATTATACTTTAAACACCATGGAGAAGCCTAGATTGGCAATTAAACAGCTCTTGCTGACACTCACTTGTGCCACCCTATGACCCCTTTTAGATTGAGATGTTGGAGCTCCGGGCCCTCAGCCTGCTAAATTGGTGCAAGGCTCTTCTCCTGACGAGAGCCGGCTCTGAAATCTGCCGGCTTCAAAGGGAGCGAGATCATGTATAAACCATAATGTGGGTGCACCGTGGCTCACAAAAAATAAGGCAGGAAGAGATGAAATGTTACAAGTGCAAGGGGGAAAATGAGAGAATAATGACAAACCTAATGCAACTCAAAGCAGGATTGTTGCACAGGAAAATGCATCCTACTGCTTGTGCATAAAATCAAGGCCGGCAGATGACATCCAGTTAACAGAAACGTGTCAACAGTGAAGTAAAGTGAGAGTGAGTAAGAGAGAAGCCCCTGAGACAGCCAGAAACAAAAATTAGTTGTCCTTAACAAGTTAAGTTCATCATTATATTCTGGCTTGGAGCCATGAAAGCAGACGGGGGTATCTAATGAGCTGCTTAGAATTTTTAGGGTGTTTATTGCATTTCATGGAATAGTTGTCTACAGAAAGGGATTTCTTAGGAGAAGGTGTGCACGCAGCCCACATGTGTGCCCGTTCCTGCACGGTCCCTTTCTCTGCCGTGCATTGTTCAGATATGGGAATATGTATGTAAGTATGGGAACTTAGAAATGTTCCTTCTTCGTGGCGGCACGGGAGGTTGGTCCCTGTCCCCCAATGTGGCCCGATTGTGGTGTACTTGCCGTGGCGTTTGGTGTGTGTAACGCACACACAGAGTGGTTCTCCCCCCACCCCCTTCTTTCCCTCGCCCTCACACGTCTGTACACACATTCTCATTCTGCAAGAAGGGAACATATATATTTGAGGAATGTCAGGCCTTTAAAATTCACAGTAAAAGCTGCCACCCACCACTTCACCCAAGGGCTTCCAAGAACACATGTTCTGAACTTCTGTTTCCTCAGAGGCCTTTGAGCAGTGGGAGGGAACTGGGAGTCCAAGTGCTTCCCAAGGGCTGATTTTTATTTAATCTCCAACACCCCCCATTCTTGGTGGGGAAAAATATAGGGGTTGCTTATTTCTTACCCTTTTGCTTCTCTAATTTTTTTTTGATACCCTAAAGGGAGGACTTACATGATTTTTATCTAAAAAAAAAAATCCTATCATTTTTAACCTCATTTTATCATCAGCTTAAACTTAGAAAGGTGGCAGCAGGAGAGGACCATGTCAGTATGGAATTTCTGAGTCTAGTGTCCACGGTGGCTTTGGGCCGCCTTTAAAAATCAGCGTCACTCACTGGGTATTTATTTTCCTCTGTTGGTCTGTGTACATTCGGTTGGTACTTTAAGCTTTTTAATGATTTTGTCAAATTATCCTGGTTATAGTTATATAATTTTGGCTAAATGGAAACTATCTCTGATCCATATATGGGAAGAACTTTTGTCAAATACAGGCTTTGAGATAACTGTCATGATGCAACCTCACTAGGACCTCTGGTTCCCACTGGAACTGGCCTTCTTTTAAAGAGTAGGTTGTTCTTTCCTGGGTAGCATGTTGGGCTATTTTTGGCGTGGATTTTATTAAGAAAGCCACAACTGCCGTGATCTTGATCTGAACGGTTTTCTGTCTGCTCCCTTGCATAACCTTGGATGGAACAGGAGGCTGCCATTTTGTTTGCTTTTTGGGATTCTGCCACTTGGTTCTTCCTCTCCTCTCCTCTGCAGTAGGATATGTTAACCTTCAGAGGGTGCTTCATCTAACCCACTGCCAATCATGGTTTCCAAGCATAACAGGAAATGTGAGAGCTGGCTGTCTGACCCACTTGTCAGTTTGCGAATGGACCAAGAGTTGTTTGAAATCAGCTTTTTATGGCTAATTTGCTTAGTTGAAATAGCAATACAGGGCCTCGGATGTATTTTGGAGCACTGTTGTAAAACTCAGCCCTATTAGGAGAAAACACAAACTTTATCTTTTCCTTATTTATAATTTTGTTAAACATTTAGAAGGCTTTTTCATGATGAATAGACAACACATGGAGTTAAAGTGATTTAGGAATCCTAAATTTGACAAGAGAAAGGGCACACAAATCAAATGCAGAGCTTTACTGCGTGTTGCGTGTGTATCTGTGCCTTTTTCTTTTCTTTTCTTTTCTTTCTTTCTTTTTTTTTTTTCCAGCTTTCCATAAAGGGATACTAACTTATTTAAAATGTCCCTGAATTATGATAAGAACCAACTAGGAAATATTTGAATTTCCCCCCTGTCTTCCTGCCTCACTCTCTCCCGTTCCTGTCAAACGATGGGACACAGCAACAAAAGAAAAATAAAAATTTTATTGCACTCCATCAACAGAATGAGGCCTAATGAGGCAAGCACAGCATTGTCAAAAAATGTATGTATATTTCAACCACGTTAATATTTTATTTAGCTGTCAATATACAACAAAAGATTTCACCTTTCATTTTAGAGCTGATTAGGACTTAGGAAATTGTCTTCTTAGATGCCACTAATAATGCCTCAAAAAACCGAGTGGCCGTGCAATTTCCAGCAGGTAGTCCAAGCCCACTTTTCCGCCCACGTACATCAGTTGGATTTGTCTTTTGTTGAAGATGTTAAAAATCGTAATGTCTCGTGTCAGTAGCAATAATGAAGGGGAGGATTGGCTTTAATGACATTATGAGAATCATTATGTTTAATTTATCACTAATTAATGCTGACAGGTTTCATATGCCTTGGGTTGCTTTCATGTGAGTGTTACATGCTGTTTTTTTTTTTTTTAATTGTGTATACGCATCCCTCCTCATTCATTCATTTTGATTCTGACGATTTACACAGCTTCCTGTCTTCCAGGTTCCCTCCCCACATGGTCCCACCTCATCATACTCTGCACACCACCGGCATCCCCCATCCGGCCATAGTCACGCCAACAGTCAAACAGGAATCCTCTCAGAGTGACGTCGGCTCCCTCCATAGCTCGTAAGTGTTGCTGTTTTTATGACTTTCTTCTTTGCCTCAGGGTTCATCATGCTGGTCACTGCTGCTGAGTGGTGGCTCTCTGCCTGAGGATGGCCTTGCTTGGTTTGGGCTCTCTACCACCTTATGAAGGAGAAAATGCACAGTGGTGGAGTCTCACCCATTGCGGGTTAGGACAGAAGTCTTCTGTGTGTGTACTTGCCTGTCCTGGGATTGGCAGCCACTTCCCTGCCCCTTAACCTTGCAACTGAACATCTGAAGCCCTTTTTCTACAAGCACCAGAGAACCCTGCCGAGGTGGAGATGGCAACAATGTGCTTTCCCCCTCTGGCTTGGGAAAATTGTATACTTGTGAAACTTGGGGACGTGATTACAAAATCTCTCTCTTCCCTTACTCGCTCCCCGAGCTATTTTTGTTCCATTTTCCGGGGTGAAGAAGACTAAAAGTGGAAGCGTGCTTTCTATTCACAACTGTGCTGGGCTTGGGTGCTGGGAGGCAAGGAGACAGGCTCTCTGCGTTGGAGGAAGTTGGACCGTGTGATTGTTTATTGAGTTGTGTCTGTTTCATCTGTATCCAGAAAGCATCAGGACTCCAAAAAGGAAGAAGAGAAGAAGAAGCCCCACATAAAGAAACCTCTAAATGCATTCATGTTGTATATGAAGGAAATGAGAGCAAAGGTTGTAGCTGAGTGCACCTTGAAAGAGAGCGCGGCCATCAACCAGATCCTCGGGCGAAGGGTAGGCTGCGCCCTTCCCAGGGAGGAATGGGGGAGGATGAACTGAGGGCAGCAGGTCGGGTGGACAAGTGTCCTCATTCTTAGGAGAAGCCTTTCCCTTCAGCCATCTTCTGAATCCTTGAGTGGCCCTCATGGAGTCAGGACTAGTAATGCTGCCTTCAAATGGCATTCAGCGCAGCCAAGGCCACAGTCCTTCCCCATCCCTAGAGAGAGCAAGCACATGACAGAATGATGCAGTTGGCAAATCAGGTTTGGTCTGAGCACTCTTGTTAGTGCCAGGAACGTGCCAGACTCTTAGTAGGTGGGTTCCTGGGTGAACTTACCCCCTCCCCCCCACAAAGCAGCAGTATGCATTCCCTGACCAGAGTGTAGTTGGTGATGTTTTCTGCATGTCTCTCTCACCCTCTCCCTGTCCCCTCCAGTGGCATGCACTGTCCAGAGAAGAGCAAGCGAAATACTATGAGCTGGCCCGGAAGGAGCGGCAGCTTCACATGCAGCTATACCCCGGCTGGTCCGCGCGGGATAACTATGTAGGTGGATCGTTCTCTGTAAGATGAGAGTCTGTTGAGCTGTGTCGTACGTCTGTACAAAGAGGAAAGTAACTTCTAGTTTGAATCAGGCCTCAAGACCATTCAGTCTGCCTGCCTTGGGGTTGCCAGCATCTTGCTGGATCCCCAAGCTGGAGGGGCCCGGCTGGCTTCTTGGATGGATGGCTCTGGTAATTCTTTAGGGTGGAGGAAGGAGGCTGGTGCTCCAGTGTTCTGGCTCAAGGCTTATGAGGTCAATTTGGGGTACCTGTTTGCCCAGTTCCTAGAAGTGGGAGGGCTTAGGCTATGCCTAAAAGAAGCTTAAGTTCTGGATTAGGGTCTCCATGCTCTTCATTGGTGATGAGTGGTGGTGTGGCTTTACAGGAGAGACCAGTGAAGAGGAGTGGAAGAAAAGGGTTCAATTCCTCACAGGTCTTCCAACAGGGCCTTCATCATTAAGAAGGAAAACAAAACAATTGCCTGTGCCATCATACAGTGCAGCTGGCAGCCTATTTCATCCTGAGAAGGGCATGATGGGAATATCCCTGAACATCTCCTTTGGCAGGGTGGATGCAATGACTGGGCCTAGTAGGGGTAGGAAAGGGTGTGTGTTACGTGATGTGTGTGTTCCTGGGCTCTGTATTGGCTAAGGGACTTGCCTAATTTCCTTTCTTGAGTTTTAGAAAACACTGTAGGATTATTGTTTTTCCTAATTGTGATTGTATCCCCACGATTTCTCCTTTTCCCACAAACTTGCTGTCCTCCCGAGACTTCAGTCACTATTGATTATCAATTATCCTACATTTTCCCCCCAAACTCAAGCTCTAAGCTCTTTCTTTTCTAGAAGGATGAAATCCCTCTTATCTTGCCAGATCCATTACTACATAGCCTATGGTTTCGTGGAGTAATTTCGCCACCCACTCTTTAGGGAGAAACAGAACTTCTCTTAAGGCTGATACAGGCTTCTCCTCCCTTCCTGGTCAATGTCATAGAGGGTGGTGACTTTACCACCTTCTTCTGATGTTCCTATTGGCATCATCAACATTGAGCAGGGGCTGAGTTCATTAAAGTATCACTGATTGTGCACTTACTATATGTAAGTATTATGGGGATTCAGAATTAAGTCAGGCCTCCTTCCTCCCTTGGAACTTGCCACCTGCCAAGAAATCACAAACATCTGCGTGAATACGGGATCCCAAGTGAGGGCTATTTTCTGCTCTGTTGGACTAGCTATTTCAAGTTTGCTCCCCTTTTTTCTCATACCTTTAAACCTGTGCTTGCAGCATTGATGAAGGAGAAGGGGGATGGCCCAGTCCATCTCCCCCTAGGCCCCGCCTCCTAGGAGTTGAAACAGGATGGAGTAGGAATGCTAGCACCTCTCGGTGACAAGTGTGCTCCACTGAGAGCCCTTGTCACCGACAGGTGGGCTTGCATAGGGTCTTAACTGCTTGGGACCTTTGCGTTTGTCCTCAGCATGTGTGCAGTGGGGAAGCCTTTCTTCTGGAGCTGAAAGGAAGAGGATGAGAAAGTTAATGCTCTCCCACAGGCACTCTGCTCACCCCCACCTGACCCCGAGGTGGAGCTTTCCAGCAGCAGGCAGGCTCCATAGCCTTCACACACATAGCCATATGACACAGCCGTATCCTTGCAGGACAGCCACTCTCCTGGTCACGGGTCAACAGTTCTTAGAGTTCATCTTGAGCTCCTACTACCTGTTACAAACCCAATTCTTTGAATAATCTAGAGTGGTGCCACAGAGAGGAATTCAGCTTTTCTCTATGGATATCCTATCCCCACTAGACATTTTGGGTCATCGTAGGGTCTTCACGTACAGCTGTGCAGGGTGTGCACTGCACAACTCTAGGGTATGCCATTTACGTTGTGGTCTATGAATGGTGCCCCCTGGAGTTGTGCAGGGTGAAATCTCCACAAAGGTACAAGGCAGACTTTGTGGTAGCTTCAAAAGAACACTGTGTTTGACGCACCTCGGAGTCATTTAGACAAAGTATTGCTTGAGGCTTTTTGCAAGTGTTTTTTAGGTTTCAGAAGGTTCTGTGGGGCACTTGAAATGACTTTAGCTCAGTTACATTTGGAAGATAGGTTGCTTTATAACAGGAATTCTTGAGAAGACTTGAGAGAAAGTTTAGAGATAGATGTAGATAGTACATAGAGGTACTGCCGGAGTCCTATTACCATGACTCATTGCTCCTTGGGTGTGCACACATGTGCACGTGCACAGACACACACACACTCTCTCTCTCTTTCACACTCACTTCTTCCTTCTGTGACCCAGGGAACAATCTGGGGATAAAACCCACAGAATTGAAGTTTTTATCAATTTGATTATGGTAGACACTTATTAGTATTTGTTTTTAACCAACTTGACACAGGAGTTTCCACAAATTACTTTGGTCATTGTAAAGTCCAAAAGGTTCTTCTGAAAAGTATTTTCTGAGCTAACTTCATGCCTCTTTCACCTTCTTGCTCTTCCAACCAAGTGGTAATAGAAGCCTATCTAGCTCTCCTTTAGGAAAACAGAATTGAGTAAAACAGTGACGGTCGGACTCGGCACATTCTGTAAAGCACAAGAGAAAGTGTTTTGGGGACCAGAGTAACATCTAACCTCTGGCATTGTATGAACATTATTTCCTTCCTAACTCTCTCTACATTAGGTAATGTCATTTGCTCAGGTGAGTTCTTTCTCACCTCCAAATAGTAGGATTTTTCTTTCTCCTGATTCATTTAAAGAAGTAGTCAGGTAGCCACCTGCCCTGAGATTCATCTTCATCTTCACTGAGGGTAATGTTATTTTCAGGTGCCCTCAGAATACATTGCAAGGACTTAGAAATGGATGAACACTGAATGAAACATGACTGAGAAGCCATGGGGTATGTGGGTGCTCAGACCCCATGAAATGAAAATGTTTCTGTGAACCTCCTGCTTCTCCCAGCCAGGTGGCACTTTGTTCCTTACGGAGAAGAGACACAAACATGGAGATGGAGGAAGGCACATGGACTTCTTTTCTTAAAAATTGTAACTTGGGGGGACTGGGCGCCCATAGCTCAATGGTTAGAGTGCCAGCCCCGTGTACTGGGGCTGGAAGGTTCGAACCTGGCCAGGGCCTGCTAAACCAAAAATAAATTGTACACCGAGGAACATAGCATGTTTAAGAAGCATTGAACAGAAGGCCACTACAAATTTCCCTGCTGGCACACTCCCCCCAGGGGAAAAAAGGTGCTCTTCTGTGGCTCTCAGCCCACGGATGGAGCCAGAGCTCGGTGGCATCTCCACCTTGTACTGCTCCTTACAGAGCCTAACACACGTTTAAGTTTCCTATTGATCACTGTCCTTTTCTCTTAGGGGTTGATAGCAACATGCTATGACAACCTCAGTTGTTCTGAAACACATACAAGTGTGAGACCATTGCATTTAAATTTATACCAAGCAGCGATTTCACATGCATAGTGCTGAGTGAGAGAGAACCAATGTCTGACCTGGAATGAGGCAGTTGCCTCATTTTGCCTCTGCAAAATTCCTTCCTAGTCCCCTTCCACGACTGCAAGCCTGAGCAGACTGCCAAGATATCAAGGAGCGTCGGGCTGGAGAATGTGAACGACTCAATGCAATTCGTCCCCCCTAATCAATTGAGAAAAGAGTTTCTCGGTGGACCAGCTTTAAATATGTAGGCAACAGGCCTTATGGCGGAGGGCTGTGAAGTGCAGACCTCATTTCATCCTGGCCCCACCACTTCTTCATCATGCGACCTCAGGAGAGCTACCTAACCCCTTGTTGCCTCAGTTTTCTCACCTGTAAAATTGGAATGGTGATGAGACCTGCCGTGTAGGATTATTGTGAGGATTTAAATGAGTCACTCTGTATAGCACACTTGGAATTGGGCCTGGCCCCTAATATGTGCTCCATCAAGGTTAGCTGTTGGTATTTAGGAGGATTGTCGTCATGTGAGATGAGAATGGTAGGAACGACCCTTCTCTTGTGGACATCCACCCAGCAGTTTTGAAAGGAGCTCAGATGATTCCCAGTTCTATTTCGCCTCCCTTCACCGCTGCCTCTTTAAACCAAGGTGCTATCATTCTTAGAGAAGCCCCTTCTCAGGCTTTCATTCTTTGATTCTGGGGACCATTGACAAGTCAGTGATTTGAGTGGGTCCTGGCATGCCATCCCTCGTCCCCTCAGAGGTGGGCTCTCAGACTGTTCCCAGAGCTGCCCCTCCACACCTACCAAGTCTTCCTCATGCAATTGTGTTTTCTCTTAGGCATCAAATGTTCTGGGTTAGGTTTGAGGGTGGACATAGGAACAGGAGCAGAGAGATCTTTCTCTCACTACCTGCCAGTCCCTTCTCTTCTAAGAAATGTGTATCCATTCAGCTGGGGCATAGTCAAGGGCATTGGATGAAAGGTGGGCGGAGGATGGACAAACCGTTTCTAGGGGTCAATGTGGATAGAGATGGCAGGCGGGTCCCTTCCTCCTGCCCTCTCCTTCCTGGTGAGGCCAGACACCCACCTCCTGTCTGTTTCTTGAGATAATTCTGTGTCTCATCTGTTCATCTAGGGGAAGAAGAAGAAGAGGAAAAGGGACAAGCAGCCTGGAGAGACCAATGGTAAGTCGCAATAATCAGGATAGAGGAAGGAGCAGTAGCCTGAGGACCACTCTTTTATGTTAGGCTTCCACTGGGGGAGGCAGGAGGAATTCAAGGCCAGGACATTGTGGGGGGAACCCATCTTAGCCAGCCTTTTTGTTTATGCGTTTTAATTAATTGCTTCATGACTGCCCGTTTAAAGCTAGTAACATTCATTATTGCATGAAAAGCACATTGTAATTCTAGTGGAATGTGTTTTTAAATAACTGCAAAGCCCATTAACTGGAGAGCAAGCGGTAGGCATGCCTATGCTGGGATTGATCCAGTCTGCTTATTCTGTATGTGTCTGAGAAGGGAGGAGGAGGGGGCTTAGGGGTGTAGGAGGGGGTATGTGTGAGTGTTTGATATTAACGGGGCTGTTCCTGAATGTTCTGATGCATGCCTTTACAGTGGTAAATTACACCCATTTTAAATTAAGGAGGTTTGTCATTCTCTAGAAGAAATTAGAAATACTGCATAGGCAATCTCAGAGGTCCCGTGGAGAAGGCCAGGCTTTTACAAGCAAACAAACAAAAATTTTGAAGGCTTTGTATAATTTGTTCTTTTTTTTCAGAACACAGCGAATGTTTCCTAAATCCTTGCCTTTCACTTCCTCCGATTACAGGTGCTAATGTCATTTTGAGTCATTAAAATAGTTGATAAATTGTTTTTTAATTTTTCTTGCCATTATAGTTTTATTAACATTAAACACGTATGACATTTGAACATTCTTTAAAATGACCATCTACACGGTTTCGTATGTTTCAGTAGATTTTTTTTTCAGTTGCTTTGGTTGTTTTTTTTTTTTAATTTAACCTCTGTTTTGTTTATTTATTTATTTTTCCCATAACAGTTGTCTAAGCAGTGTTGACAGTGATTTTAGAGTTGAACTAACTGTGCAAATTGAATATGCAGTATTTCTTTAAAAGAGACTGGTTAAAAAAAAAAATGGAAGGAATTCAGTAATAAACCTCCTTAATCTAATGGCATTTTTTTCATTGCTCCCACTAAGTTTTCTCACGCAAGCATGCATCCGCAGTATGATTATTTTTTTCCTTTGCTTTTTTTTTTTTAGTTTTTTTCTTCCTTTTGCTTTTCTGCTCATAATTTGCAAATCCACTACCATTTTAATGACTGTGCCTGCTTAAATGCTGCTATGAGCTTCTAACTAACTCCTCACAGCTCATCACACAGCCTGTTTACCTATATCTGTTCCTCTCTTAATATTAATGAAAATAGATTTTAAAAAAGGAAAAGGTGAACGTTCCAAAAGCTGCAATATCCCAATACCACAACCTTTTTCTTTCTTTATTTCTTTCTATTTTGTTTCGTTTTGTTCTGTTTTTATTTGTAATTTTTTTTTTCTTTTTTAAACTGTTGTACTCTGAGAAGAAAAAAGCATGTTTACAAACTTAATTCCCTCCTTCGCTTTATTTTCTTCTTTAAGAAAAAAAAATTGAGAGGAAAAAAAGGGAAAGCAGAACTAATAAAGGAAAAATATTTAAAAGAATTCTTCAGTATCTAACTTCCCTTTGTCGGTTCAAAACGAATCTGAGAGACAGTCCTTAAAGAAGGGATACTGCAGCTTTAATTGCAACAGCTAATTTCACAAGTTGAATAAGAATGTGACTTTTACCTTTTTTTCTTAATTAAAGAAAGTTTAAAAAAAAACAAAAGTCAATATTTTGCAATTAGTAACCAGGTCATTGATTTATTCCCTTTTTTATTTTTATTTTTTTCTTATTTGTATCTTTCTCTTCCCCTCCCCTCCCTCTCTCTCTCTCTCTCTCTCTTTTTCTCCCTCTCTCTCTCTCCCTTTCTCCCATGTCCTCCTCCTCTGCTCGCTTCTTTCTTGAACTCATTCAGACCTGAGCGCTCCTAAGAAATGCCGAGCGCGCTTTGGCCTTGATCAACAGAATAACTGGTGCGGCCCTTGCAGGTGTGTATAGTTTCCCAGATTCGCTGTGCTGGTTTGCAGCTGGTCTATTCAATCCTTTCCCCCTTCTCTGGCCTGTTGCTTTGTAGCTCTGTGTGTGAATCTTAGGAGACACAAGGGAGCGGGACACTGCCAGTGTGGGCTCGATGAGGGATATGCTTGTTCTCCCGCTGCTGCTAGCCAAAATGCCACTGTAAAACAGCATCATTTGTGCCTCCTTGGGTCAGCGACAGCAAATCCCCAGCGCGTCCCCTCCCAGGGAATGTTGCCTGCCAACTCCCTTCCTTTTATGACAGCCCGGGATCATAACCCTGGCCTAGGTAGAAGCAAATGACGTCACCTTCTCCCCTCCTCTTCTCTCTTTTTTTTTAATTTCTTTTATTTTTTTCATTGTTGTTTTTTGGTTTCCGGTTGTTGTTTTCTTTTGTGTGTGTTTTATCGTTTTATTTTATTTTATTTTTTTTCTTTTAACTCATAGAAGTCCTTTCCTTTCACGTCCTTGGTGAGGGAAGATTTATCATAGAGAACCAAGGTGATAGAGAAGAAAAGTAAGCTGTAGCTGAGATTTCACATCCAACTGAGCACGACCCACCATTGTGTTGTATTTTTGTGTTTACCTTATGCTAACAGATGCAAATACTCCAAAGAAGTGTCGGGCACTGTTCGGGCTTGACCGACAGACTTTATGGTGCAAACCGTGCAGGTATATTACCACTGCGAGGCCTTTGGGAAAATCAAAGTGTTCTGTCCTTCTGGTACCTTAGCATAACAATTTATTTTGACTTCATTCCCATCTGTTTCCCTCACTGGCATCAATGACTGACTAATGATCCTCACTCTTCAAAATTTCCTTCCTAATTTTATGCCATTTCCTTTCCCCACTTTCTCTTTCTCTCTTACCCCCCTGCTCTCATGAAGAACATATCCCTGGTGGCAGAACTGAGACTGCAGTCTTAATAACAAGGACAGGCACAGATGCTTTGGCTTGGAATGCCAGCACCATGGAGCTGGCCCGGCCCTAGGGGTGCCTTGGTGGCCTACATACTGACCATAGCCAGCCATCACTTCCAGAGGTTTGAAGGAGTTCTAACTTGGCAGCAATAGTGTTCCCGTGCACTTAGAGTCAACACACTCCGAGAAGTGCTCTGGGGCAGGCTCCCCACCCCCCCTTTGTTTTCTTTTTGGTTTGGTTTTGTGTTTATAAACCACGTATCTGTACAGAGGAGCTTGGTGAGCTGACATTGTTTTACAGTGCTGACAAAGAAGCGTGGCATTCAATGGCATGCACCAGCTAAAGGGCTGCAAGCAGTGAGTCATGCAATTGCATACTGCAGCGTTGCTGCACCTGCAGAATTAAACAAAAATACATATATATATATATTTGTGTAATATATGTATGTATATAGCATCGGTTCCAAATGGATCAGAACAGTGCCAAAGTGTCCAAGTGAAGCACACACACTCCACCTGCAGATTTCCATCCAACCTGTGTTCTCTGGGAAGGGATAGGTACTTCCTTCTTGGTGGAGGGAATGCCAGCTAGTTCCTGTCTCCTTTCCTTTCCTTTAATGACCACCTTTGGTTAAATTTGTTGTTTCTTTGTTCTGATACAAGCAGTCTTTGAATTTGGAATATTATGATGGTAGGTATTTCAACACCCCAAACATACCTCCTTGTTTGTAGTGCCTCCCCCGTCACGTGTCCCCCTTCATGCCTCTGCCATGTGCTCCATGTCTAGATGTTAGATCAGACGTTCATCCCATTCTGTGCATGCCCACGAGTCTCCTGTGTCTCTTCCCTTCTTCTCTGATGCCAGTATGAGAGATCGGTGAAGTGCCTCGTGTTAACCCAACAAATGTTAGGGGTGAGGTAGGGCCTGAGAGTCTTCACTGAGGGAACTGTTATGACAGCTGGAGAGATCGGGGCCTTAGGTGACACCTAGCAGGAGAAGAACTGCCCAGTGATGCGGTGAGATGGTAGTGTTCACAGAGATGACACGCCCCCTTGACAGAGTCCCAGGTTCTTCTCTGGACAATAGGAGTTTCATGATGATGACGACGAAGGATGTTACATATCTAATTAGGACTAGCCAGGGAAGACAGGGACTCTGCTAGGCAGTGAGTTTGTTAAAATTGTTTTTGTGCCAAGTGAGATGTTAACTAGTTACAGAATCCTGTTCTGGAATGCTCTGCTGTGGCAAATGACTGGCCAACCATAAGGGCCTCTCCAGAGAGGGTTTCTCATGATCTGTAGAAATGTACAACTGACACCATTGTGTACGTCTCACAATAAGGTTGGTTCAGGTGCCTGGCTTGCTCATTTTATTAATGGGGGATGGGGGATGCTTATGAATCCTTTTTTTGTTTGGGAAGCAGTTGCTGCAAGTCTTGGCTTTGTTTTTTCTTCTCCCTTCTGACCCAAACAGAAATCCCCTCCTCAGATACAGTTCACACCTTGCTTGAAGCCAGGGTAGGGCATCTTCCTCAGAGACCAGAATTTTCTTGATTTTTATGAAAACAAAAAAGCAAATCTTCCAGCCCAAAGCCTTTGTAGCTGCTTTGTGTTTCAGCAGCATGATTTTCTGAAATGTGGCCTTGAGGGCCCGTGAGTGTGGCAGTGTGTGTGGTAGATGCCGAGGGCCCTGGTCCTAGGAGCTGGAGATCAGCAGAGACCCCATCACCGCCTGGTTTTCTATCCAGCCTTTGCACTATTAGGTACAACCATTTTTCTTTTGTTGGGGACATTTTTTTCATAGCATAAAAGCATTAGCAAATGCACTTCTGTTTTCTTTTAAGGGTGTCATTCCAAAACAGGATCAGGAAGAACCCTTAGTTTCCTTTTAGGATAAGTATGTATGAACCTAGAAATGGATTCTTAAGAGGCTACCCCTCTGAATGGAGATGAAACTTAGGTGGGGAGCACGTTAAGAGACTGGGTTTTATACAAGTTGTTCCTTCTCCCCTCAACTTTTTCTTTTAACTTTGCCACGACCATAACTGGATGCTAAAATCCGTAGGACAAAATGTGCTTTTAAAAAAGAGAAAAAGAAAAAAAAAAGCACTCGCCAACCGAGGCATTTTCTGACTCGTCAGAAGTGTGTGTGTTCAGCTGCCCTGTGCTCGGCAACCTGTTGGAAGGTCCATCGCTTTGTCATCACAGTCTTTGTGTCCTGCGTCCAAAATGCCCTTGTACATCATAAGGTGGGTGGGAGGGGCGAGAGGAAAGCACCAAAAAATGCTCCCAGCCAATCAGGGCTCCTAGCTTGCCACACAGGGTTTCTAGTTTGATGTTTGTGGACATTTTAACACGATTCTGTTTTGAGCCCACCAAGTTGCTTTTCCATCTTTTCACTCTGCCCTAATCCAGCATGGAATGCTCGATGCTGCTCCCTCGACTTCCTGGTCATACCCTCTTCCTCTCCTCTCTCTCTCTCCCTTTCTATTTTTCTCTGTTGGTTTCTCAGTTTTACTTATGCACCCTTCCTTCCACCTCCTTTCTTTCCCCTATTTTTAAAATGCATGGGCATCTTAGTTTTTTGAGCATGTTTTGATCTGCAGGCTAAGGTAGTTTAAAACTCCGAGAGGCTTAATTATTTATCTTGGTTTGGGGGACGGGAGCAGAACCCCATAGTCTATTTCAGCCAATCCCAGGGAGAAATAGGAATCTTGCCAAACAGAGGGTGAGAGAGGGGATGCGCTTGCTCCCCCAGATTTCTTTTTGACTCAGAGGGGACAGGCAGACCCTGAAGGCCACCAGCCCGCTGTGTCTGCTGTGTCTCTGCCTCTGGCAAGCAGGGAGGACTACGCATGCTCCCTTCCACCCTTCCCTTCACTCCCTGCCTTCTGCCATCTTGCTGAGTCCACACCCAAGCATGGAGGGGCACAGTCAGTTCTGGGGCACAGACTGAGAGGAGGAACCAGTACCCACTTCCTTTCCAAGGCCAGGGATGTCATCCGGCCGCAGTTGCCTTCAAGCAGGCAGCATCTTGGTTGCTTTCCAGTGGCAAAGCTGGTCAGTGCTCACATGCTTGTTTTTAGATGGAGTGTTACCAGCTGTGGTTCTGCTATATTCCAGGGTCCTTACGTGAGCACATTTTCTGTATCTACATTATTTTTATAGCATTAGTGGGGTTGATCCCCAGGATCACCTTTCCTACCAAACACTGTCCCATCAGACTGGGATTAATGGTAGGAGAAGCTTTGAAGTCACATGCTCCACTTCTTGAGTTGTTCCCCCCACCCCCACCTCATCCTTGGATGCTAAACAAGCAAGGCTCTGAAATTCTCATTCCAATATTTCTTATACGTAAATGGGTAGTGAGGAGGACAGATTCTGGTTTTGGTGCAGAGAAGTTAGACTTTCTGGTTTAAGCACTCTATCCCAATGATCCAAACCCGAGAAGGTTCATGCTGTGGTTCCCTGGCACGTCGTCTTTGTGGTTACTTCTCTGTGATGGGCTTATGCTGCACCCTCCACTTACTGGCCTAGGCATAGGACACGGGCAGGATGCCCCTCCATCCATCCATCCTCAGGTCTCTCCAACCTCTCTCAAACTGGCTCACTATGGGGTGGGGGAGGGGAAGCCCCACTTCTTAAAAACAAAACTCAAGTTTGAATCTTAATTTAATCCACAACCTGCAGGCCATACAACCAGTTATTCTTGTTCCTTTGGATCATTTTCTGTTTTTCTTATTCTTCCCCCTCCCCTACCTTTGTTTATCTTCTTCTACCTGTTTTTGATGGTTTTTTTTTCTTTTTTCTTTCTATTCTTTTTCTTTTTTTTTTCTTTTTGGTTTGTTTTGTTCTTTTGTTTGTTTGTTGTTTTCTTTATTTTCTTTTATTTTATTTTTGTTCCTCCCCCTCCTCCCTCCTTCCCTCCCTCCCCTCTCGCCTGACTCTGACCTCTCTTGATTTGGTGTGGTTCTTAACAGACGAGCCCAAAGCTCTCTGGGCGCCAGCAGCCTCATGGTGGTGGTGTGTTAAAACCTTTAAGCCTCTCGCTAGCGCTGCCTTCAGCTATGTGGGCTCAACAGTGAGCATTTTGAGAGTTTCGTATTGGTATGAGGCGGCTGGGGAAGGAGCTCTGTCTTTTCTCTTTTTAAAAAACACACACACATCACTGGGGGTGGGGTGAGGGTGGCACTGGTGGGATGGGGAGGTGGGGAAGGCACCGTGATGGGAGTGTGAGGGGATGTCTGAGCCTTTAAGCCAAAAGCGAAATGACAGCTGGGACAAAGCCACTTTCTGGCACGTAGGTGCCACAGCCCGCAGTACCTCCCCTTCCTCGGCTCACTGAGATCTGGGCAGGGGTGGAGCTGTGGCCGAGGCAGAAGGGTGGGAGGAACTGGTAGAAAGTTCTGGACTCTTCATTTGTTGGCCAGAGCAGGCTTACAAGCGGGCATGGTTCAGTGAGCGACCCACCTCCGGGAGCCACTTTAATTGTTCTGGGGCCACCGGGCGTGCGGTCCCCGTGGGGCGCCCCTGCAGGTGACTTAGCTCCGCTGCCTTCGAGCATGACAGATGACTGTCTTCCTCGGCCACTTTGCCTTCTATTCACGGAGAACTCTCTCCCCCTGTTTCTAGGAGAAAAAAAAAGTGCGTTCGCTACATACAAGGTGAAGGGAGCTGCCTCAGCCCACCCTCTTCAGATGGAAGCTTACTAGACTCGCCTCCTCCCTCCCCCAACCTGCTAGGCTCCCCTCCCCGAGACGCCAAGTCACAGACGGAGCAGACCCAGCCTCTGTCGCTGTCCCTCAAGCCCGACCCCCTGGCCCACCTGTCCCTGATGCCGCCGCCGCCCGCCCTCCTGCTCGCCGAGGCCGCCCACGGCAAGGCCCCCGCCCTGTGCCCCAACGGGGCCCTGGACCTGCCCCCGGCCGCCCTGCCGCCGCCCCCGCCGCCCGCCGGCCCCTCCGCGCCGCTGGCGCAGCCGTCGACCTCTTCCTTACATTCCCACGGCGCCCTGGCCGCGCCGCAGCCCCAGCCGCTGTCCCTGGTCACCAAGTCTTTAGAGTAGCGCTAGCGTCGCCAGCCCCCGGCTCTGTGTCGTGTTCTGTCCCGCGCTTCGTCTGCGCCCTCCCCCGCCTTCCAGAGGTTTTGTTTTGTAACTCTTTTCATTTCGTGCCGCGTGGCTACATTAGTTGATGTTTATGGAGTTCATTGGTCAATATTTGACCCATTCTTATTTCAATTTCTCCTTTTAAATATGTAGATGAGAGAAGAACCTCATGATTCTACCAAAATTTTTATCAACAGCTGTTAAAAGTCTTTGTAGCGTTTAAAAAATATATATATATACATAACTGTTATGTAGTTCGGATAGCTTAGTTTTAAAAGACTGATTAAAAAACAAAAAGAAAAAAAAAAAGAAGAAGCAATTTTGAAGCAGCCCTCCAGAAGGAGTTGGTTCTGTATTATTTGTATTAAATACGAGCTTGCGAACCAATCATTTACATCTGGTTTTTAAACCATAAGGGCACGAGGAATGCAGTGCCGTTACTCTTTTTTTTTTTCCTTTCTGTGTGAAACAACTTTTATTGTGATGTTTCTTGTTATTGTTTAAATGTACAGAAACAAAGGGTTAAAATGTGTTAATATACCTTGTTCCATGGTGTTGTTCTTTTGGGGGGAGGGGAAGCTACTCCTCAATTAATAGAATCACAATGCTGTTGGGCCAGTAGTATTTATTGCTTTAGAGATTGCTTGTTGTACCTGTATGTTGTCTCTTTTTAAATATGTTTTCCTTTTTCTTGAAACTGTAAAAAGTTTTTTTCCCCCCCTTAGCATAAGCATCTTATATATAACAACTCATTTGTACAAGGTTTTTAAGTTTATATATAAAATGTGTATATATATTTTTTTGTTTCCCTTTTGGATTTTTTTTTTTTTCTGTATGAAACCCAGATGCCACCAAATGGACATTAATAGTTGCATTAAGGATCAGTAGCATTAACAAAAGTTGCTTTAAAAGCCATTATGTAAAACAAGACTTGAAAATTAGTGAGGGAATTCTTAGCTAGCGAGGCTATCTGAGCAGCAGTGGGAACCATCCTTGTTTCCCCTTTGAACTCCCAGTCGGATTGCCCTACGCCCTTAGGACATGGACTGACTGCGTGCAAAACTTTTACGTGCCAAAATTCTCAGTGACTTTAGCTTTCTCCCTCTTTTTGATGCTGTAATTTTTGTTCATCATGTTTTGCTGTGATGTTACATAGGTAGCTTTGTATGTAGTTTTAATGTCACCTATAACAAAATGTGTTTGGTAGCAAGATTGTCCAGAAAGCATTTTAAATGAAGAGGTATAAACCCTTAAGGGCCAAAATTCTGTATATTAGATTACTCTTAAATGAAAAACCAGCTGCCACTTTTATGTACACATATTACATACAAGCAGGTAGCAACCTTTAAAAATAAAAAAAACCTAGGCATGTTGATGTTGCAAAATGCTGTATAAAGCTAAAACCTGTTCATTCAGTGCCATTGTAGTTGACATGAAGCGATTGTAAAACTGTCTCCGATTTTTCTCTGGTTTATTAAAATGCTAACTATAACATTTTTTGTGAATACTTTGAATGTTTCCTAACAGTTGTGATGTTACTGTTCCGTTTTATGCTCTTATTCCAAGTTCATTTTTAATGGTTTGGAAGCCATTTTTGTAATGAATAAATGTCCATGCTGTACAGTATCTGTAGCATGCCGTTCTGGATTAATAAAAGCAACTTAGTATGTGCAGATAAATGCTGGTCACTCGTCTCTGTTCTGGATTTTTATCTCTAGGGAAACCAGACCCACCCTCATCAAGAGAAACATCTGCCTAAATTGGAGCCCGTGGTTAGTGTAGGGGTGGTGGGCGGTGACTAAGCTACCAAAAAGTAGTGAGTTTAAGACGGGTTGATCTCTGACCCTCATCCTTGATACCCATTTTGTGTACCTTGGGTATCTGGTTTACACGACGTGTGGCTCACAGTGACAACCGGGAAAATGGGGTTCTTGCTGTGTATCTTCCCCTATAGTATTTGTGCCATCACCAGTAGTTCATTTCTGAAAGTCAGACACAGTTACAGAACAAATGTCACTTTGGGGGTTACCAAACAGTCGCACTGATATATCTGACCTACTCTTCCTCTCACAGAAGGGATTTAATTCTGGATAATGAGACTTAGTTCCCCAAGAGTGGACGTAGGAAACTGCATTGTTACCCATCAATGATCATCGACATGAAGGTATCCTAACTGCTTCTAAGAGTTGCATGCAGGAGAGATGCAAGGGTGTCAAATGGAAATGCTTTCTCTAGCAGAGAGCAGCCATTGAGCAAGCAGCTTTGTAGAAAACCGGATCAAAGTGATTCAGTGCGTATGGAGGAGTTTTGCCATATGGGGGGACCCACGAGTTTTGGCTGTACTCTGGCAAGAGTGCAAGTTGATCACCCTCACTGAGGAAGGGCCGTAGTAAAGATCTTCCTAAGGTTTCCACTGAATTTCATTTCTCTTGCTGACTAGGTGGATGTATGCATTGCACCATTTATCTAGGACATCTGTATTTTCAAAGGACGCTGATTTCAATGGGCACGGAAGCTGTTCATGTTCCCGTTGTTGTTACTTCAGGTTACCACCGTGTCACACCAAGGACTTTGAAGCCCTTCAGAAACTCTGCTTTGCTCAAGCTAGTTTTTGTTCTGTAAAATCTCGGTATTTTGTTTTTGCTTTGCTTTGTATTCCCAGGGAGGAGCGTTCCTGGTTGTCCTTCTTCATTTTATGTTGCACACTGGGCCCAGAGTGACCTCTGAAAACACAAGTAAGAACAATAGCCGTTATTTGTTGCACACTGTCAAGCCATGCATGTACATTTTCTAATCGAATCCTAATACTGCCACCTGAGATAGCTATTATTCTCTCTCCCAACCACCCTCTGCATTATGAGTGTCTTGTCAAAAGCCACACAGTTAAGAGATGGTGAGGCCAGGACTTAGATTTAGAACTGACTCCAAACCCATGCTCTCCTGCCTCCTGTAATAAAGACTGCCCTTCCCTTCCCCTTCCGAATAGTGATGGGACAGTCCGTTTGAAGGGTTTGCTTGTTTCCTTCACCCCCTCCTCTGCCGCACATACTCACTTTCCTCTTAGCTGGACTGCAGCATCAAGCCACCTACAAGCATTTGTGGTCTTCCTACCTGGAAAACTTGTCTTTATGCTTTAGGTCTTGGGGTAGACATCACTTACTTTGGGGAGATGGTCCTAGTCCTGACCCCTCGGGGGCGGGTGCTGTCTCCCTCCTCTGTGCTCTTCCAGACCAGTCCTCCCTCCCTTTTTACCCACCAACCACCATCACTGTGGTGTCAGTGGGTGTTGCTTGCCCAGGCGCTCAAGACACACCGCATTTCTCAACCTCAGCATTCATGACATAGGGGCAGATAATTCTCAGTCATGGGGCCTTTGTTGTGCAGTGAAGGTTGTTTACCAACATCTCTCGCCTCCATCCACTAGGTGCAATAAGCACCGTCCTCTTGCCAAGTTATGACAACCAGAAATGTCACCAGATACTGTCAGATATCTCGGGGTAGGGAGTGGCAAAATTACCCCCAGTTGAAAACCATTTCTCTAGAAAGCCCTCTATGAGGATGGGAATGCATGTAGCTCTTTTTTTTTTTTTTTTTTTTTTGAGACAGTCTTATTTAATTGCCCTGGGTAGACTGCAGTGAGATCACAGCTCACAGCAACCTCAAACCCCTGGGCTCAAGCAATCCTCTTGCCTCAGCCTCCTGAGTAGCTGAGACTATAGGCACCTGCCACAACTCCCTGCTGGTGTTTTTCCATTTTTAGTAGAAACGAGTCTTGCTCTTGCTCAGGCTGATCTAGAACTCCTGAGCTTGAGCAATCCACCCACCTCGGCCTCCCAGAGTGCTGGGATTACAGGCGTGAGCTACCAAGCCTGGCCCAGGAGTGTAGCTTTCATGTTCACAGTGGGTGCTCAATATGTATCTTCTGAAGGAAGGAAGGAATGAGTTTGGTCAACTCAGTGTCTATGCCAGCCGAAGTGGAAGAATGGTAACTTGCATAAGGCTTCCAAATGTGTTCTCTTGACGTCTGAAGTGGTGGCAACTTTCTTCATCCTTTCAGCTGTGCTGGAATGGATGGTGGGTCAGTACTCTTATTACAGAAACCAGAAAAAGGGCAGGGGGCAGCCCCTGCTATCAGCCAGCCTGAGTGCAGTGTTCCCTTCCTAAAATTCAAAATACGTGTCACGTACCCACATGTTTACCTGCCTGATGGCACTTGACTGATACTCCTCAGTATCTTCTTTCCATCTTAAGATGGTACCTCCTCTCCCCGAGGCTTGTGGTGGTCTCAGCCACCCACATTCTAGTTTCCCAAAGACCAGGCCAAGGCCTTGCCCTTCACCCCTTCCTCTTTATATCTGTTTGATTTCTTCCTACCTCAAGAGTTTACTTTCACATGGAACATCTTATTTCATCTTCAAGTGCATCTGTGGACATTTTGTTACCAAGAGACCCTAAGACCAAGTCTAGGAAGCCATAACCCGCTCTCTTTCTGAGCCATATCATTGTGGCATCTGGGGAGACTTGGTCAAGTGTGTTTGCTTATTAGGAGGGTGTGTGCTTTCCTGCTGTAATGAATCACCACAACTTGGTGGCTTAGAACAAGAGAAATTTATTCTCTTGTTGCCTTGGTGGTGGCAGGGCTGTGTGTCCTCTGGATGCCCTGGAAACACCTGGTGGCTGCCTGAAGTCCTCTGCATCTTCTCGGTGCAGCCACATCACTCCAATCTCTGCCTCCATCTTTGCCTCACCCTCTGTCTGTCCCCACACTCCCTCTGCCTCTCTTATAAGGATATATGAGATTATATATGGGGCCCACCCAGAAATTTTGGATAAACACCCTTCTCTTAGAGATGGGTGATCCTTAATCACATTTTTTGCCATACAAAGTAATACAAGTTTTCTTATTAGGACATGAACATATATTTGGGGGGACCACTGTTCAGCTCACTACAGAACCATTTGCCAGTTCTTGGACCACTGTAAAGTCTTAGCGCAGAACCCTTTTGAATGTTTCCACTGTTGGTGGTGGTCTTGGACAGGCCCCCATGGACAATGATTATTATAGTTGATGGTTTTCCATTTCAGATATTAGAAGGCTCACTTTTTATTCTGATTATGTGAATTCATTTTACTTATCAGAAGGACCTTTCATGTGGATCCAGGCTTTCAAGGAAGGAAGCAGCTGGGAGCAGCACAGTGAACCTGAGCTTGGAGGATCCCACATCTGGCCTCGCTGTGTGACCTTGGGTAATTCCTTTCTCTCCTGAGGCCCTGTTTTTTCAGCTAACAAGTCATGGTGGTGGTGGTGGTGGTGGTGGTGGTGGTGGTATCCATTTTGACAGATTCTTATGAGGGCTAAAATGCAGAGTGCCTGGAGTAATGAATCATGGGGTTTATTATTATCCTAAAAGCCAAGGGCCAGTTGTCTATTTGCTTTCTTTATTTCTTTTTGGGTTTTTTGCCTAGTCTAGATTTTTACACTCAAGTGAGAGAATCACAGAAATCTAGATGGGCAGACACAGGGACACTGACTTATCCACAAGTCATTCATTTTACCTGCAACTTAATGGCCCCATGAAAATTACTTCCACTCTCTAGGGCAGGGGTCAGGGGTCCTCAAACTTTTTTTTTTTTTTTTGCAGTTTTGGCCAGGGCTGAGCTTGAACCTGCCACCTCTGGTATATGGAGCTGACACCTTACTCCTTTGAGCCATGGCACTGCCCGGGTCCTCAAAGTTTTTAAACAGGGGGCCAGTTCACTGTCCCTCGGACCATTGGAGGGTCAGACTGCGGGCCCTGGGACGAGTCGGCTGCTAAGCAGGACAGGCAGTGGCGGCAAAAACACCTGGCAGGCCAGATAAATGTCCTAGGCGGGCTGCCTGTAGTTTGAGGACACCTGCTCTAGGTAGCCACAGCCCTGGCTGGGGTGCTTTTTGTGGTATAGACATGTGGCATAGAAATGTGTTTTTAATTAAAGCCCTTTGGAAAGAAACTAAGGAGTAGCCTGAAAGTCTTTTGTTAATGATTCCTGAGGCAGTGCCACAAACCAGAGCTGGGAATCACTAATGAACAGGACCGTAGATGTGATTTTCTAAAGGAGTCCCACCTGGGCTTGGCTTCTTCATCTCTCATTGCAGAAGAGAGACATGTGTGGCTATTGCAGAGGCCTCTCCTGAATTCTGGTGGCTTCGGTGAGTTCTGACTCTTAAGACAGGATTTTTTAAAGCTGGCACCTTAGGGGCATACTTGGTGGGAGCTGCAAGGAAGCACATTCATTCATTCTTTCATCCATTCAACAACTGTTTCTTGGGCACCTGTTTATACTGGGTACTGTTCTACGCACTGGCACATAAGTCTGGATGGAGCCAGCTTGGTCTCTAGTTCTTCTTGAGTTCATTCCTTCACCATCTAACAGGAGGGAGTTTTTAAGGAAAGAGAAGGGGAGCCGCCAATATTCTTTAGTACTGGACAAGCTGCCCACCTAGAAAGGGGTTTTATGCAAGGATCATAACACAAGCATTTGCTAAAAACTAGACATGGGTTTCCCCTTTTAATCCTCATGGGGATAGAAACTGCTTCTGTGTTCATTTTTAGAGAAAGTGAAGACTTAGAGAAGTGAAGTGGTTTCCCCAAAGGAACGTGTCTGGGAAGCAGGGAGCCTACAATTTGAACCC